TATGACCTCACCCCAAATGGTGGTTTACACAGGCAATGGTTTCGAATTGGCCTTCTTAGTTGCAGGCTTTGGACCTATTCCAATTCTCGATTTCAGCTGCACATTCCTATGCAGGGGCTAAGGGCATAAGATTTGGCACCGCCTCATGTAGTTTACTACCAGGACGCCCAAGTACCCTCAAAAGGTATCTATGGAGGTCCTATCTGTTGGCACTTGGGGTTTATAGAAAACCCCCTCTACATAGTCCATGTATGGCTTTCCTGAAAGCACTTCATCACTAGAGGGGATTGGCTACTGGGACCAGAAGACATTTTGAGCGCCCATCATGGAGTGGTACTGAATTCATACATACTTAAAAAACGAGATAAAGTCTTGGGATCTTACCCCAAGAGCGGAGAAGTACGTGGAAGAGAACAATCAAAACGAAATGGAGACTGGGATGAAAGAGGTTGCGAAAGGGTTTTGAGAAAGATGATTGCGAACACTTTCCCTCGATTCTTTTCATATTGTGTGGTCCATATCAAAATCACTTCAGCATGATATTCGTACTTATACAGGCCACTGTCCTAGGTCAATGTTGCGTGGCTCTCACACCGAATTTCCTCATTACATAGCTGATGTCTCGCGCCAGACCCCTCCAGAGCGCATCCTCGTACATCCCAAAAGTACGCCCTTTCTTTCCCGATTTCCCAATCACTATGGTAAACCTTAAGTGCCAAACCCCACAGCAAAAGCTCTGAATCCCAACCCTGCGCAATCCATAGCCACGCTTCGCGGAGTCCTGGCATGCCTGGCCCTTGTGGCATAAAAGGGCAGCCCGCCTGATTCTCTCTCTCTCTCTCTCTGTATATGGACCGCAGTGCATGGGGTTTAGCACCCATCTAGGCAACATCCCATATGTGTACATACATGCATTTTTGATTTTGTATGGGTGTGTATGATACTGTATGTGCATATGTCTGCACCTAGCAGGACGACGCTGTTCCCACCTCACTGTACCGCTGAAGCTTACCCCCCCCTCCACCGTACAACTCAAACCATACCTTTTTCTACGCCAATCATCATCCCTACCTAGACCCTCCATCTACCCTCTATATACCCTAAATACCCACGACTAGGGACCATATATATATATATATATATACTCCTATTCAAGGGGAAAAGGGAGGGGCCTGGTAGAAGGCGTGGAGCCGAGGAGCTAGCAACAGCCATCTCTGGTCGATTCCAGGCTGTCGAGCTTCTCGTTGGAGAGTTCAGGGTCTACTTGAGGGATCAACACACTTAGCTAGGACCTTGGACCCAGAACTGTTTTGGGGGTTTCCCCTATATTATTCCAAGTAGGGGTACCTAAAAGGTAATTTTTAGTAGGGGTGCTAAGTGTCATGGTGAAAAGGTCTGAGAATCGTGCAGCCCGCCACCCCCTAATAATGAACGGTACTATCCTGTTGCAGTACAATTTTTTGGGAGGGGACGAATATTTGCATTTAGTGCGGTGGGAGTTTTGATCTGAGCGGGATGAGATTCCTTACAAACCCGATTAAGCTACTTGCTAAGTCCCCCTGACGAAACGCTACACATGCCTATATATCCACGGACCTTGTAAAGGTCCCTAGACCCTACTACTGCTCCAGCAGGTTTTGCCAGGGCTGCGTCGGGACAAATGGAGATCAAGTTTGGAGATTACAGTACTTTTAGGTGTTGGGCGCCAGAGGCATGTCATCTGACGTGCCGATCGGTCTGGACCACTCAAAGTCTAAAGGTCTTCGGGCTCGGGCCGTTTCGGGATTAGCAGGCTGGCTTTCAGGATCATGCTTCCAGAATGAGTTGTGGACGGGTCACACAGTGTTTGGCAAGTCGAATCCTAGCAAAGACGCCATGCACAACACTCCAGCATACGCCTTAATGGCAGAGTTTCTTCAATTACAATATTCCCTGCAGAATACTCCAGACGGATTGAAATTCCGTCATAATCCCGAAATATCTAGGACCCCTCAAGGTACCCCCCTATCAGAAACCCCAAGCCTTAATCCCGAAACCCTGCAGTCCGTTAACCCTAAAGCCTAAACACACCACCGCGAAACCCTTTCCTAAACCCTATAAACTCCTAAGCCCCAAACCTCAAACCTTACACCCTCAACCCCAAACCCCAAACCCTTCAAGTCTGATAGCCCGAAGCCTAGGCTGGATCTACTGGACGAGGATGCCTTCACATCCTTGCTGCAGGACTTTAGGCGAAGACGGGTTGCCGACTGGTTTAGGGGTTTTAGGGGTTAAGGGGTGGGGGGTTTTGGGTTTTGAAGTTCAGGGGCTGAGGGTTTAGGTTTGAGGGCTTAGAGTTTGGGGTACAAATGGGCGTCCCTTCAAATGTTGGTTTTATCGGGTATTCTAGGAATACATATTTGGGATATAGTGAAAACGAAGAGAGTTTTTATCTGGACCCCCGAAGTAGACTTGTTTTCTCCGGAGTTTCGGGCCACTATTTTACCATCTTTGCGCCCAGGAATGGTATGCATAGGGTGTAGGATCTCGGGTCCAAGGTCCAAAAGAAAATGGAAAGTGAGTAGGAAATGGTGGGGAAACCTGTTGTGGGTTGCTACATGGTTGCATGTAGTTGTATTTGCCCAGGTCCCCATGCCCCTCCAAACTACTCATACTAAGTTGGGCATGTGGCAACGGGCACTAGCCACGAGTATAAGGGGTTCATATGCTGGTTGTGTAGGGCCTTGTGCATCCTTTCCTCCAGTCTTGACCAAGCACGCCTCAATTGTGCGCAAAACTTGGAATGTGATGCCACAAGACTTTCTACCCTAATCCTCAAGACTTTCTGAGAAACTCGATCATAAGAAGCGCATGGCTATTTCTCCCAGGTTGCTTTGTGCAAGCCTTCTTCCACCGGCCAAGCCCAGCAGCTCCTGAAAAGCCTAGCCAAAAAGTGCCCTCAACTACAAGAGACAGCACAAAGCATGTTAAAGCTTTTTGCCGAGGGGGTGTGCTGGGCAGGGTGCCCTGGTACTTTATTAAGGCTACTATACATTCACGGGCATGCAGTACACAAGGAACATGATCTCAAGGGTTCAGTTGTGGCTCCAACTGGGTAGATCCGACCATTTTTTGGGTTCTGTGCCCAGAATGTTGTCTAGGAACAGCTATTTTACCTAATGTTAACTAGCGCAAGCCCGAGATCCTGAATCACGTGACCTTCTGCTCTGGCAGAGGCCCGATGCGGTCTTCCACCTTGCCGGGGTCTTCCGACGCGTCGCAGATTCTGCAAAGGATCATCATGGGAGGGATTGGTGGAGTGATCTGTCTAGGTAATTCCGATAACGACCGAGACCTCCACCTGCTTAACGGTTACATGCAGCCTCGCTTACATGGGCAACTTCTTAGAGGGGCGCAGGAAGTTTGACGCAATAACAGTTTTGTGATGCCCTTAGATGTCCTGAGCCGCACGCGCCCTACACTGATTCACTCAGCGAGTTTGCAATCTTGCAAATAGGGTGTCTATTGACAAGGCTTGCTGGTGTATGGGGTGATCTGTAGTTCCAATCGATCAGGGGATCTCAGTATAGACCCCCAAAATATGTTTATCCGCGAGCTCCAAAGGCAAGACACAACTTCCGGGAACCTCCATGCAGCTCATGTCGGGGTCGTACGACTTTCATCTGAACAACCACGAAGACCACCAGACCCGCACGACGAAAGCAAGATGCTGCAAAGGCACCAAAGCAAGTATCTTGGTGTCTGCGGTACAGGCCGTGAACAGGCAATCTCGAAGCCTTGCCGCTCCTCCCTTTACCTCTTCATTACCCTTACGTACCCTAAAGTCTTCCTGGGCCCTAAACCTGAAACACCAGTCCCTAAAGCCTAGGGTATTTGGGCTATAGTCTAAACTCCTTAACGGGACTACTATAGGGGTTTCTAAGGGGGATACTAGGAGTTTAAACTATAGCTCATTTGGGCTCATCACAGTGGATTTGTAGGACATGGTTGAGCCCAACATCGCCATGGCAGAGGCTCTCGCGAGCTGAAGTAGGGTTGGTTATTAGGGTTTCTGGTTTGGAGTGTAGGGTATATAGGGATGCCTAGGAAAGTTGGTAAGTGTATACATTTGGTGTCCATGGGGGGGGGGGGCTTGGATTAAAAAGCAAACCCCGGTGAGCTATTGAGCGCCATATTATCAAGGCTCATAGGGTTCAGGGCCTACCTATATCCTTCCTTTTTTGGAGTTTTGTCCTATATTGTCGTAGGGTACATTGCAAGAAGTAGGACGCCCTGGTGTGGGTGAGTAAGGCTTAGCGGGTGGGCTTTGTGGAGCGTCGATAGGGTGCACGAGGACGTAGGGAATAGCACGCAGTCGGGTTGTCCTGGGGTGTAGGGGGGATGTAAACACTAAGCCTGAAACCTAAAGCGAAAGCTTAGTCGTGCAAGTGGTCTTGGCGTTCAGTAGAGGTTTTTAGGGTTTACGGAGCTTCGTTTGGGTTCCTGATCCGTGTGTTTTTGTCCAGAGATAGTGTTCTACCTTAGTATACGCAAACAACAAAGCAGGACGCCCCCGAGATGCCGCTTTCACATCTAAGAGCCTTTCTGGCTTCCCTTTGGCCCCTTTTGGGCAACCCGGTTTCCATGTCATATACACTTCTCTAGTTAATTCTCCATTGTTGTGGCAATTCAGGCCTTTACACTCCACACGCGAAACCTTAAATGGTAGTTTACCAAAAGAGGGGTACCCCAATATAGACCCCCAAATACTACAATGCCTACTATTTGGTTTCCCAAAAAGGTACCCCTAATTCTGGGAACCCCCCAAACTCAGTGGTGCATGCATTTTCTGTAGCCATTGGGCTGACTCTGACGGCCGAGCTCCGCGAAGAGCGCCGCTGGGTCGCACAGTCCTGACTTTTTGCGGTTTAGTGGGATGTTCACTAGCTGGGCTTGGAGGCAGAGCTTTTCGGTAAGCCCTAAACCCTAAGCCTTCCCAGACCAAGGAGGATTCTCCGGCCATGGTGGCCTTTCCAGTGTGGATCACATTGCTGGGCGCGGCTGTCGCCCAGGCCCCCACAGAGAAACCCGGTTTAGGGTTCAGGGTTTAGTGGTTAGTATTCAGGGTTCTGTCCTGTGTCAAAAAACCTTGTGGGTATCATGGCAAATCAAGGGAAAAGAGCATGGAAAACTCATTGGAGACTGTGGGAGCCTGGACCACCCCCCTAACAACCAAAGATCTAAATGATCCGGGGTCCCAATCAACCCCCGACAAGTTGTTCCTTGGGGCGGTGGAGGCCCAACCAAACACAACACTTAAATCTGCCGCGAGCATTTTGCGTTTTCAGCCCGAACGCTCGCTCGATTCCGTCTCCTTCTCAGTATTTTTTGTCCTTGGCACTTAGCTGGGACCTTATATCCTTACTTCTTTTGGGGTTCCCCTAAATTCCGATTACAGGTGCTTAAAATTCGATTTAGGGGTGCTAAGTGCCATGGTGGTATTAATCAAGCGGGGTTACCTCTTCTGCAGTTGCAGAGGTGGCGGTGAGATTTCAGGATAAGAGTCATACCGATATTTAAGGGGGAAAGGAGGGACGTGGGGGTTTGAGGGTTTAGGGGTCTTACAAAAGTTGAAGCGCCTCATTTGGATCTGTATTCAAAGGCGGAGGGGCAACAATCCCGTCCAAAAGGAAACTTAGATTCCTCTATACCATTGCCACACGCAAGCCCTGCGAGAAGCGTGATGCCTTGCTCGCGCGCCCTCCCTGAACCCCGAATCCTCAACACCCACAAGTTTTCCCCAAGGAGCATGAGAGGTGTCATCAAGCCTGTGCATGTTGCAGCCTGCTCAGAAGCTTCATGGACCCGCGTGAGGAGTTTGGCAGCCTTACGTTTCCTGGTAAGCCTACTGCCGACCTTCCTCTCGTTGCCCTTTTGTAGTCGTGGTAGCAAACACAACATGCGAGTTCACCAACAACTGGCCTTGGGTTAGCTGGGAATGAAAGGAATGGAAAAGAACATTGAAATCACCATAATGGGTTATATAGGGACTACTATGCAGATCCATTCCTTCATTCTCATAGGACCGGCGGCAGGAGCGATCCGCAAGTAATTCACTACGTTATCAGAGGGCACCGTTATTTCGCAAAATTGTCAGTTTGAAATTTTTAGCCCCCAGCACCCAAACCCCCTGTACCCTTCACGATCCGCATGATAAATCTCCCAAGCCCTCTCCCTCAACAACAACAACAACAACA